TTTAGTGCATACTGTACTGAGTCCGACACAGAGTATGAAACGGACACAGAGTATGAAACGGACACAGAGTATGAAACGGACACAGGATCATACGTCCGTCCGTACAACTGATGAAACAGATACGCCTCGTCAAAAAAAGTGGGCCGTAATGACAATACAATGGAAGAAGATTCTGAAGTTCAGAGAAAAATTGACCTAATGTCTCTGAACGAATGCTTGGATTTTGAAAGTAACTTTGACCCTGCATGAAAAGACGCGACAAGGCTGGGGAGGTTTCTCGAGTTTGAATGGTGACTGTCATCGAGCTGTGGAGATGACTTCATCAAAACAAAAGGGAAACATTTCGAGATTAAATGAAAGAAAATTCTGGGAATGAGAGCAATCGGCAAAGGAAGACAGGCGCTCCATCAAACCAAGTTTTGTTGGACTTCCGCCACCAATTTCCATACAAAAACCACACCGCCATTTTGGCTTCAAATAAGTGAGGAGACAACCAAACAAAAATTTCTGTTGGCTGTCAGAAGAGTAACAATAAAAACATTTTTTCCAGAAATTAGGGAGACAATACTATTGCGATGCATAGTATACTTTGACATAGTCTATTAACGTTATTTTATTTTTATTATGACATCTGCGGGTCGGATTTTACCCCGGGCCCCTGGCGAGTCGTGATTTATAAACAATCAGCTGATCAGTAGGATGCATACATGTGCGTACAAGCTCCACCCACTGATGACTTTATAAACCGAGCAGGACATCAGAAGCTTGACTCACGAAGGCAGTTTCACCGACTCTGCGTTTTGTAGAACAAAAACGCAATTTTTTTAAAAAACAGTGTTGTTCCAGTTGTGGTACTCGATCTTTTCGTGGTGTTTCGACAGTGTCCAAAAGGTAAAGCAAAGCGTCATTCGTGGTTTCACGTAACTTTAAACAAAATGGCGATTATCTCAACTTCATTTTCGACTTCAGCCATGTCCCTCAAAACTATTTAGTTCCCAGACTATTTTGCCTTTGAAATTTTCAGGAACAATAGTTCGGGTCTGGCACAGTTCCGGTCTGGCACAGTTCCGGTCTGGCACAGTTCCGGTCTGGCACATTCAAAGTGCGTCAGTGGATTTATTGTTCTGAGAAGAAAAAAAGTAACCGCATTGTCAATCAGCAATAGAGTTAATTTTAAAATTCTAAAATCTTAGTGAACATATGTTTTAAACAAACCATTCGATAAACCTATGCGTTCGTAAGTTAAATAGTTTTAAACACAATTTAACTAAAAACGGACATTTTCAACCCATTTTCAATACTGTTAGCAACCACAAAAAATGCACCATACTGTCGAAAAGCTGGCTAAATAAATGTGGTGTATAACATGACAAAATTAACATATTTGTTAGTAGTGTAATTTATTGTTTAAAATTCCTAATATTAATCATGGGTACACACTGTTACCAAATGTATGTTTTCTTATTCATTTCTGCACCTTTATCTTATAATAAAATTGTTCAGAGCTCTGTAAAAAAAAAAAATTCTACTAATGTTTAGAGTAACATTTACAAGCACTAGCCCAGTAAATATCACACGCAACAAATATGTTTAAAATGTGAAGCTTGTGGATGAGCTCTAAAAACACCCATAGAGCTTCATCAAGGGCAATATTATGTGAAATATTTAACAAACTGAATTTGCGCAAATTGTACAAAATATTTAATAAACAATCAATTGTTTTCAGCACAGATATGTATGAATGCTTACAATCATTTTGGATTCAAATTTGATCATGTGTTCAAGGTTTTTTTGGACAGTGTTCCAACATCCATGAATTAATAAAGATTTGCTTCTGTTCTGAATTACTGTGGCCTGTAGAAGTTCAAATCAGAATTCTGGTGAATTCCAGCATCCGAATCATGGTGAATTCCAGCATCAGAATCCTGGTGAATTCCAGCATCAGAATCCTGGTGAATTCAGCATCAGAATCATGGTGAATTCCAGCATCAGAATCATGGTGAATTCCAGCATCAGAATCCGGGCGAGTTCCAGCATCAGAATCTAGGTGAATTCCAGTATGAGAATCCTGGTGAATTCCAGCATCAGAATCCTGGCGAATTCCAGTATCAGAATCCTGGCAAATTCTAGCATCGGAATCCTAGCAAATTCTAGCATCGGAATCCTGGCAAATTCTAGCATCGGAATCCTGCTGAATTCTAGCATCGGAATCCTGCTGAATTTTAGCATCGGAATCCTGCTGAATTATAGCATCGGAATCCTGCTGGATTCGAGCAATGGAATCCTGCTGAATTCGAGCAATGGAATCCTCCTGAATTCGAGCAATGGAATCCTGCTGAATTCGAGCAATGGAATCCTGCTGAATTCGAGCAATGGCATCCTGCTGAATTCGAGCAATGGAATCCTGCTGAATTCGAGCAATGGAATCCTGCTGAATTCGAGCAATGGAATCCTGCTGAATTCGAGCAATGGAATCCTGCTGAATTCGAGCAATGGAATCCTGGTGAATTCGAGCAATGGAATCCTGGTGAATTCCAGCATCAGAATCCTGGTGAATTCCAGCATCAGAATCCTGGTGAATTCCAGCATCAGAATCCTGGTGAATTCCAGCATCAGAATCCTGGTGAATTCCAGCATCAGAATCCTGGTGAATTCCAGCATCAGAATCCTGGTGAATTCCAGCATCAGAATCCTGGTGAATTCCAGCATCAGAATCCTGGTGAATTCCAGCATCAGAATCATGGTGAGTTCCAGCATAGTATGAGAATCCTGGTGAATTCCAGCATGAGAATCCTGGTGAATTCCAGCATCAGAATCCTGGTGAATTCCAGCATCAGAATCCTGGTGAATTCCAGCATCAGAATCCTGGTGAATTCCAGCATCAGAATCCTGCTGAATTCCAGCATTGAAATCCTGCTGAATTCCAGCATTGAAATCCTGCTGAATTCCAGCATTGAAATCCTGCTGAATTCCAGCATTGAAATCCTGCTGAATTCCAGCATCAGAATCCTGCTGAATTACAGCATTAGAATCCTGCTGAATTACAGCATTAGAAAACTGGTGAATTCTAGCATCAGAATCCTGTTGAATTCCAACATCAGAATCCTGGGGAATTCCAGCATTAGAATACTGGTGAATTCCTGTATCAGATTCCTGGTGAATTCCAGTATCAGAATCATGGTGAATTCCACCATCAGAATCCAGGTGAATTCCACCATCAAAATCCTGGTGAATTCCAGCATTGAAATCCTGGTGAATTCCAGCATTGGAATCCTGGTGAATTTAAGCAATGGAATCTTGGTGAATTCCAGCATCAGAATCCTGGTGAATTCCAGCATCGGAATCCTGGTGAATTCCAGCATCAAAATCCTGGTGAATTCCAGTAGCAGAATCCTGGTGAATTCCAGCATCAGAAACCTGGTGAATTCCAGCATCAGAAACCTGGTGAATTCCAGCATCAGAATCCTGGTATATTCCAGCATCAGAATCCTGGTATATTCCAGCATCAGAATCCTGGTATATTCCAGCATCAGAATCCTGGTATATTCCAGCATCAGAATCCTGGTATATTCCAGCATCAGAATCCTGGTGAATTCCAGCATCAGAATCCTGGTATATTCCAGCATCAGAATCCTGGTATATTCCAGCATCAGAATCCTGGCGAATTCCAGCATCAGAATCCTGGCGAATTCCAGCATCAGAATCCTGGCGACTTCCAGCATCAGAATCCTGGTGACTTCCAGCATCAGAATCCTGGTGAATTCCAGCATTGGAATCCTGGTGAATTCAAGCAATGGGATCTTGGTGAATTCCAGCATCAGAATCCTGGTGAATTCCAGCATCAGAATCCTGGTGAATTCCAGCATCGGAATCCTGGTGAATTCCAGCAATGGAATCCTGGTGAATTCCAGTAGCAGAATCCTGGTGAATTCCAGTAGCAGAATCCTGGTGAATTCCAGTAGCAGAATCCTGGTGAATTCCAGCAATGGAATCCTGGTGAATTCCAGCAATGGAATCCTGGTGAATTCCAGCATCCGAATCCTGGTGAATTCCAGCATCCGAATCCTGGTGAATTCCAGCATCAGAATCCTGGTATATTCCAGCATCAGAATCCTGGTGAATTCCAGCATCAGAATCCTGGTGAATTCCAGCATCAGAATCCTGGTGAATTCCAGCATCAGAATCCTGGTGAATTCCAGCATCAGAATCCTGGTGAATTCCAGCATCAGAATCCTGGTATATTCCAGCATCGGAATCCTGGTGAATTCCAACATCAGAATCCTGGCAAATTCCAGCATCAGAATCCTGGTGAATTCCAGCATCAGAATCCTGGTGAATTCCAGCATCAGAATCCTGGTGAATTCCAGCATCAGAATCCTGGCGACTTCCAGCATCAGAATCCTGGTGAATTCAAGCAATGGGATCTTGATGAATTCCAGCATCAGAATCCTGGTGAATTCCAGCATCGGAATCCTGGTGAATTCCAGTAGCAGAATCCTGGTGAATTCCAGTAGCAGAATCCTGGTGAATTCCGGCATCAGAATCCTGGTGAATTCCAGTAGCAGAATCCTGGTGAATTCCAGCATCAGAATCCTGGTGAATTCCAGCATCAGAATACTGGTATATTCCAGCATCAGAATCCTGGTGAATTCCAGCATCGGAATCCTGGTGAATTCCAGCATCGGAATCCTGGTGAATTCCAGCATCTGAATCCTGGTGAATTCCAGCATCCAAATCCTGGCAAATTCCTACATCAGAATCCTGGTGAATTCCAGCAACGGAATCCTGGTGAATTTCAGCATCAGAATCCTGGTGAATTTCAGCAACGGAATCCTGGTGAATTTCAGCATCAGAATCCTGGTGAATTCCAGCAATGGAATTCTGGTGAATTCCAGCCTGTGAATTACAGGCTTGGTATATATGTGCTTCTATTAGAGATATGCTTCTAATAGAGAAAATGCAATATATTTTCAAATTAAAATTTTGCATGGAAATTGTTTGGTTTGTTGGACAGTAATACAGAATTAAAATATAATGAAGATCTACAAAATGACAAAATTAATGCGAAACTGAATTACCTAATGGAATCTTATAATACAATAACAGCTGAAAATAATAGCAGAGATTTTGATTTACTAAAACTTGAACTGACCAGAACCAAAATCCCAAACAAATATTTTTTCAGTGAGCCATATTTTGCTTATCTGGATGTACCAAATAATTCATAAAATGTCTATAGTTACTTGCATTTAGAGAACTGCTATCAGTGGTGGATTTCAGCAGCTAATCAAATATTGTTGAGTCACAACAATAGAATATATATAGATTCTACAGCCCTTGTGGAATATGTCTTCAAGAATTTATAAATATATTCACTTACACACGTTTTACCAGACAAAGTCTGATTCTTGCATAAGTTTATTATTATAATTCTAGATGATAAATAGGACATAATCATATCATCATAGATGTGCAATTTCAGTGTTATTATAAAAAGTAATACCGTAATATCTGTATTAGAAGTCGCAGTCAAGTCGCACACATTGTTTTTGAACAATTGAGAACCAAAAATTCATCCTTTCTCATATGTGTAGATGCTCTAATAGAAGCCGTATTTTCTTTGTTGCTTTGTACCATTTTAATAGTAGCAGCAGATTCAAATACAGATTTTACAGTACCCAATTTTACAAAAATCTATACAGATGTTATATTTTATTTGCAGTCAGTGTGTTTATTTGTGTGTTGGTGTTAGTTGCATGCAAGTGTTTTAGTTTATTTTCCAGGATGGCTGCTAAGTAGTTGAACTGATGGTAACACCATGTCATGCAGCCAAGCTATAAACATGGTGACATGTAATATAAATTTACATATATCTATTCATGTAGAAATTTCATGTAAAATGGTTACATGTTGTAGGTGTCAGCTGTGAACCGGGTTTCATTGTGAGAATTGGACAATATAAGTTATTTTACTGGAATAATCCTTGTTACGCTATTGTAATCATGCTTTTAAATAAAACAAAATATAACATTTTTAAATTTAGATCATGTAATAAAAATCTTCAGACCAAGTTTCAAATGTGATGATCAATACTTGAGATATCAGTATTAATTAATTATGTTAATTAGGTGATTAAGAAGCATAAATATTTACCAAAAACTAATATGGTGCATAGTCTTAGGTTCATTGAAATGTGATGGGTACTCTTTAAAAGTTTCATTGAAATCCAATGAGTGGTTTTTAGACATCAGTGCAACAGCCATAGAACAGCAAAAAATTAACTAATTATGCAAATTAGGTAATTAATAGGCACAATTATTTATCCCAAAATTAATCAGGTCTCTGCATAGTCCTAGAATATCTATGTCGCAAGTCTCATTGAAAT